TTTCTAGTTTTTTTCTTGAAACTCTCCCAAACAACATTGTTTATTTTTTTGTTTTTTTGTTTTTGAGGCTTTCTGTGACCCCACGACTCAGCTATTTTCTGCAGTTCTCCAACTGTGATCCTTGGAGTCTTTGGCCACTCAAACTCTCCTCCTCACCGTGCATTAGGACGACATAGATATTTTCACAGCCTTCTTTGATCATATTTACCAAGGGTATGAATAATATTGAGCACAGCTGTATGTTACAATTGGTTTATGTGAGTATTTGTGTATCAAACATATTATAGGAATATCTTTGCTTTTTAAATATCTTTGCTATCACATAAACATGTGATAACATTAACAATGAAGGTTTTAATGCTATACTGCTGTTTTGTCGGCACGGTCTCATGAAAATGCGTATAAATAGTACGCCAAATAAAAACAAAAACTCGTGGTATTGATACGCAAAAATGGACTTTGGCCTGCATATACGCCAAAGTCCATTTTTGCATATCAATACCACGAGTTTTCGTTTTTATTTGGAGTATTATTTATACGCAATTTCATGAGATCGGGTTTTTTCAGGGTTGTGGGTATAAGGGATGCAGCTACGGCCAGAAAATAACAATAAATTAAATTTATACCTATTAGATCAGATTATGTGTTTTATTAACGTCTACACCCAACCCTAAACCTAACCTTACAATAATGCAAATACAGTAATTAATTGTTGTTCAGCTTGACAAAAATGATACAATATTGATGTGCGCTTGCCTAGTAGGACAGTCTGGCCTTAGCTGTATATCCCTTCTAGCCCCAACCATTCTTCAGAGGATGATTCTTAAATTATTACATTTAGTGCACCACCAGTCATAAAAATATTTATATTTAATTTGTTTGCTGCTTTTAACCAAAGTGGCTTACACTGCATTCGGGATACACACTAATCAGATATATACTGTATACTAAAATATATATTACATACTGTGTATAAATAGATAGACAGATAGATAGATCTGATCAAGTGTGTATCTTGAATGCAATGTAAGCTACTTTGGATAAAAGCATCAAACAAATTAAATATCCAACAATATCTTGAGATATTAGCCTATAAAAAAAATGAATAGGCAAGATTGGCATGCATTTACATGGGGTTTTCCTCTTTTTTTCAGACTTAAGGCCTGAAGATGATGAATTTAACCAGAGGCCAACAACTTCTCATGAGAGACACGTTCACCATGGCCTTCATTAAGAACTTCATCGTGGTCCTGGTGTGGTTCCTCCTCAGCTACATCAATGGCAGTGTCCTGGCCACATTCTTCAGGCATCAGATCTTTTACGAAGACCCTCGCTATATTCTATTCATACATATGGTCATTAATGACGCAGGGGTCCTGACCAAGTGTCAATACTGTATGTGACGAGTTGGGAGCGAGAATGTGTTGGTGTTGGTTTGCACCTCTGTTTACATCTTTTGGTCCCTGGGAAAAACAAAACTGTGCTAATGCCAAACCCCTGAAGAGTTTTCTGTGCATCCTCCAATCAGCTGCCCTGATCTATATCACATCCATACGGTATAAGATTCACCACAGGCCTGGACTTTCAGACAGGGCAGGCGGCATTTTAGGTAAGAGTGGATCTGACTAACCATATCTCTAAACTCTAGCTAGATATCTTAAATGAAGCAAATTGGAAAATAACATTACGCTGAGACATACTGTGCCTTACAAGTCATGTTTATTTTATTTCGTTCAGGAAACATAGCTGTTTAAGTGTTCATATTTATTTAATTGTGCAGCAGTTGCTCTAGCAATAGAAAAAGTATATCTTCATGCATATGCATGTAGGTATTATATACTTGCTTATATAGCCATACTGCTCTATAACAAATGTTAAATAATTAAAAATTTTAAAGCTTTACAGAGTAAAAAGATGAATGGTACAATGCAAGAATGTGTAGCCTATTACTGTATTGTGTGTAGTTGTGTACACTGTGTCTATAATGTGTGCTTTATCATCTCAGGTTGAGAACATGAACTCCAGCACTTTACTACTTCTGAATGTCATACCGCGGGACAGCTTCAGCGCTGCTCTCACTAAAAACATTGTGGCCATGCTTGTGTGGCTGGCACTCAGTATCCTTAACTGCAGTATGGTGTCCACTTTCCGCAAGCACCGTTTCTTCTATGAAGATCCACGTTATATCATGTTTATCTGCATGGTCATTAATGATGGTGTACAACTGACACTGGTCACCTCCTTGTATGTGGTTAGTATTGAGATGAAATACAGGGCCAAAAAAATTATTTAAAGGACACTTATAAATGCCTGAATACAATTGCATTGGATTCAAAATATCAAGCATGTGGCATTTATTTTAAATATTTAAAGTAAAACTAAGTAATATTGTGAAATATTATCACAGTTTAAAAAAAAAGTTTTCTGTTTGATTATATCTTAAAATGATGTGGCATTTATTTTAAATATTTAAAGTAAAACTAAGTAATATTGTGAAATATTATCACAGTTTAAAAAAAAAAGTTTTCTGTTTGATTATATCTTAAAATGCATTTATTTTTTGTGATGCAAAGTTGAATTTTCAGCATCATTACTCCAGTCTTCAGTTTCCACATCATTCTAATATGCTGATCTGCTGCTCTTTTCTTATTATTATCTTATTATTACCCCTCCCCCCACCACCACCCAAAAAAAGTAGAAAGTTGAATCATTTGTTGCAATATCATATCACTAAAATTGAAAACGTAACTTTAAATGTTTTTATTTTTAGTTTAAATTCATTTTTAGTTTAAAACTCAGTGTTGATATTTTTGTAATACATCATTTATGAGTAGAAAGTTTTAAAAAATCAGCATTATTTGAAATAGAAATCTCTTGTAGCAAATTTAATTACTGTCACTTTTGATGAATTTAATTTTTATTTCTTTCCAAAAAAAATTTAAAATGTTTATTTTTTCTTTTAAAAATGTAAAAATGAAACAAGTGCTTGTGAGTGAATATCTTTTCTATTTTGTTACTATTTTATTTTGTTTTTAGATTGTTAAATCATTAATTGTAACAATTTTCATACGATAAAAATTTAAAACATTTTAATTTTTACTCAAAAAACTGAATAAATCCTTAAGACAGTTTGAACAGATGAAAACAAATGTGTTTAAGCATAATTACTGTATAATGAAACAATGTCGTTTCCAGTGTGCATGTCGTTTGTGTTCTTTTCTTCCTGTTCTAGGTGAGTTATGCCTTTTCAAAGATTCTGGCGTCTGCCTGCTGTCCACTGATCTTGACCGCTGCGACGACCACGCGCTCCACCCCGCTCATCCTGGCCGGCATGGCCCTGGAGTGCTACATCTCCATCTGCTTCCCCCTCCATTACAGCCACATCTGCACTGTCGCACGCACCATGTGGATGATCGGGGTCATATTCCTCCTGAGCCTCACTCCCCCCATCACTGATCTTTTCATCACCGTGGCCAAAGAACCACCACTGTTCTTCCACACATCCATTTTCTGCGATCACTCACTTCTATTCCGAGACCATTCGATTTATTACAAGAACTGCGTGTTTGATAGTGTGTATTTCTCTTTTGTCTTCTTGACTTTGCTTTATACGTACTATAAGATCATGCTGACGGCCCGTGCGGCCTCCACTGACCTGGTGTCAGCCAAGAAGGCCCGTAACACAGTGTTACTCCATGGGGTTCAGCTGCTGCTGTGCATGCTGGCGTTTGTCGTGCCGTCCATGCAGGTTCCGCTCATACAGCTGTTTCCAATGTACGGCCTAGAGATCCGTTATGTTAATTTTCTTCTGGTCTACATTATCCCACGATTTCTCAGTCCTATGATTTATGGGTTCAGGGATGAGAAGTTTCGCAAGTATTGGCTCAGGTACTTTGTCTCTAAAGCACACAAAGTAGACAATTCTGTCACAGCCAGACAATTCTCTCAAAAGCCTGGATAGTGTTTTGTTCATTTCATGTATGATTTGTAGGTGACACTGATTTTTGGAGTCGAGAAATTTTTCAGAAATCGAAAATTTAATTTTAACAGGCAACAGGACATTTGAAGAAATTGTTGATACAGAAAACTATATGATTCAAAAGAACAAAATAATGAAAGACCTGTTTGAAAAGAAGCCCTTCACATTGCTAAATTGATAAACACTTTTGGCACTATAAAAACTTTATATAAAGGTTTATAATAATATATAAGATAGGGTAGTTAAATTTGATTTTAAAAAATGTTACAATTTTAAGTTAAAATGTGTATGTGTATGAGCAAAGTATATAGTTGCTATAACTGGTGTTCTTGTTTTTTTAATTAAAAAAGCCCTGCGGTGTAATTTTAAAAGTACAAATATTCCATGTAGTTTTTAAAGCAGTATGAGGTTACTCATATGAAACTGCATGTACTATACAGCTTATTAACATTAGAATTATTGTTTGGAATAGTTTTAGATGCAGTCTATCAGGCCACATTGCAGGACATTGTCATTTAAACTGCCCAAATGGTAAAAAAAAAAAAAAACATCTAGGTCATGCAAACCTTGATCAAGCTTACATCATCTTAAAGAAGCTCATTAATTCAGCACAAATCCTCAGTTGTTCAGTTTGCCCTTCAGAGAGCACAACCATTGCATCATTGTAACAACAAATACAGAAGAGGCTATCATGCATTTGCCATAGCAATACGGCAGGTCAGTTTATGTATTCAGTGTCATGAAATTTGTAAAGTCTCACTACAATCATGGAAAATGTGAATGTCTTTTCTCTTCAGCATTACCTAATTAATATTGTTTTTTATAATGCTAATGTATTATATACAGTACTTTAAGTGAGCTTGTATAACTTTATACTGATAATTGAAATGCTGACATTGACTGCTGAGACACTACAACATATTATTCCAATTATAGTGTACTTATCTATAGTGTACGTATCTAAGTCTGTAAGTAATTTAACCACTGGAATTCTTCAGCTGTTGCAGGTTACAGGATCATAATGAACAGCACCATTCCAATGGATCAGTTTTATGACACATTCATCAAGAACTTCATCAGTGTAGTCCTCGACCTAATCATCAACTATATCAATGGGACATTTGTGCTTGTCTTCTTCAAAAATACTATTTTCTATAGTGACCCAAGATACATTTTATACACCCATTTGGTAATCAATGACATAATAATGCTGTCCATTTCCGTGGGCTTACAAGTCACAATATATGTTGTGGGTACCTTCAGTCTCTCAGTTTGCTGTGTTTTGCTATTTGTTGCCGTTATAGTCACCAAGAACTCTCCACTAAATCTGGCCTGCATGTCCATAGAGCGATACATTGCCATTTGCAAGCCATTACATCACCCGCAAATATGTACAGTTCGCAGGACCTACGTGCTCATCTGGTTCATAGGACTCTGTCAGCAGTGCCAGCTTTCAGTGATATATTCATCACATTATCAACTCGACCGGCAAGCTTTTTCTCTACTGCCATTTTATGTCACAGGGTGTTCATTTACAACACCTGGCAACACGCAGTCAATGATACTGTGTCGAATGTTGTGTATTTGTTATTTGTGTGGACTACGCTGATCGTCACCTACTTCAAGGTTCTTTCTGCAGCAAACGCTGCTAGTACAGATCGAGTGTCTGCTAGAAAGGCCCGGAACACGATACTGCTGCACGGAGGTCAGCTTTTACTGTGTATGATGTCCTACATCACCCCACTCATCAGTACAGCACTTATAGATATTTTTCCTCGGAGTCGATCAACCATTCTGTTTATTCTTTTTTTGTTGTCAAATATTCTACCAAGGTTACTAAGCCCATTGATCTACGGGTTAAGAGATAAACAATTTGCTGAGCGTGTTAAAGTGTATTTTTGTTGCAAACAAATAAAGACACAGATAATACCAGTGAACTAAGCTATGAACAGAATATGTTTAATATTCACATTTATCTTACTTGAATTGATCAGCATTTGATTCGGTGTGAATGTACATATGTGATATTTGTTAACTGGCTTTTTTCACTCCTGATGTGTGGTATGAAGATCTGAAATAGTTTGTTTAGTCTAGATAACCTGTAAATTCTCTTTATGTTTTTGCAGGTTGGGTATGTATATAAAAATATATCAAATTCAAAGCATAAGTGTCTGTTTGCGGAGTCATATTTTTAACCACTTGGTCTACCTATAGCAGGGATGGGCAACTTTGGTCCTGGTGTACTGTCCTGAAGAGTTTAGCTCCAACCCTAATCAAACACCCTAACTCCCCTTACGAAAAAGAAGTTTATTCAAGTATGCTATTAGTATACTTCTTTTAAACTAAAAAATAGGAAAGTATACTTTCAGTCTACTTTTTATGTACTTCTCAGAAATTTGCTTTATGTACTTCTCAGAAATCTCAGAAATATACTTAAAATGACATTTAATTATACTTGACTTATACTTAGAAAAAATTGACATTTATTTTAGCTATAGCCTACTTGTGCTCCGAGAATGTTTTCATTGTTATACGGTAGGGGGCGCTATTACACATCTTCTGTACAGAATTTCCAAAATAAACAGAAACAGTGAAGAAGAAACCGACAAACGTCTCAGTTATGTTTGTAACCTTGGTTCCCTGAATAGGGAACGAGATGCTGCGACAGAGGTCTCTATGGGAACACCTACAGTGTGACGAATGTCTGAAGCCCTTATACCATCACGCCAATTCATTGGCCAATAGCGCTTAGCACCGCCCCGTGCATACGTCACGTATGCCATATCAGCGTGCTGCGTGCTATTTCATCAGATTTCCACATGACGAAGGAAGTGCTATCGAAGGTACGAGAATGGCCGGCTTCGCAGCATCTCGTTCCCTAGTCAGGGAACCAAGGTTACATACGTAACCGAGACGTTCTCTTTCATAGGTTCACTTCAATGCTGCGACAGCGGTCGCTATGGGAACGCTATACCATAACACCTTCATGTACCTGAAGAGAGCTGGAAGACCGAGGAAAGCGACTTCTTAAGTGGATAAGACCCGGGAGCCAGGAGCCAACCATATGGCCAGACTGTATAACTTAACGAAGTGCTGGGAGAGGACCCTCCCGTCGCAGCACAGATATCTTCCAACAAAGACCCTTTAAAAAGAGCCTGAGAAGAAGCCATTGCTCTCGTGAATGAGCACGCACCCCTAGAGGTGAGGTCAGACCATGCGCCTCATAAGCCAAGAGATAGCCTCCACTATCCAATGAGACATTCTCTGTTTAGTGACTGCAGCTCCTTTGTTTTTAACACCAATCATACAAACAACTGGTCAGATCCACACCACTGGACTGTGCGGTCGACATAGATCTTCAACGCCCTCACCAGGCAAGACTCACAAGTTGCACATCACTATCTGACCCAGCAATCAGCAGGGGAGAAAGCCTCCAACCACTTGCTGAAAGCGAAACGAAGTCGAAGCAACCTAGGAACGTACACAGGCCTAGGTCACAGTAAGACATTAACCAGCCCCGGGGCAAAGTCCATACAAGAACGGCTGATATAAAGAGCCTGCAGATCCCCATTTCTCTTAAGAGAGGATAGAACCACCAAAATAACCGTCTTAAAGGTCAAAGTTATCTGACACAGACTTAAACGGCTCAAATGGATGACCTGCCAGGCCTTCCTAAATGATAGATAAGTCCCAAGAAGGAATCCGTGCCGGGCGGAAAGGCCTAAGCCGTCTCGACCCCTGCATGAAACGGGAAACCAGAGGGTGTCATCCAACTGAAACACCTCACGGAACATGCTCAGCAGATATGGCTGCCACATAATCTTGAGAGTGGCAGGGGCCACCTCCTTAGAAAACAACTCTGAAGAAACTCAGTATCGACCTACAGGGCAATGGACTGGGTCCAGATTGCGTTACCTACACCAGGAGGCAAAAAGCTTCCCCTTAAGGGCATACAAGCGTCTCATGGAGGAAGCCCTAGAATTAAGAATAGTGTCGGTAATCTCTGCCGAGAAACCGGAACATATCAACGCACTCCACTCAGGGGCCACACCCATAATCCGAATGGGGGTGCCAATCATGCCCCGAGCCTGAGTCAGCAGGTCATGTCTGAGGGGAACCTCCCAAGGAGGGCCCGGCTAACAGACTGACTAATTCCGAGAACCATGACTGAGTGGGCCAGAACGGGGCCACCAACAGCAGACGTTCCACTCTGTCTGTCCGTACACTGAACAGAACCGCTGGGAGCAAACGGATTGGCGGGAAGACATGAAGACTGGTCCTGGTCCTGGTCAACTCTAGGGCCAGAGCGTCCATACCAAAGGCGACGGAGGAGACAGGGAAAAACCAGAGCGGGCAATGTGTTGTCATGCTTGAAGCAAACAAGTTCACTTCCACTTGGCCGGACCACTGCCAAATGAGACTCACCACCTGAGGGTGCGATCTCCATTCTCTGGCCAAACTCTGTCTCGAGAACAAATCCACTCTTGAGTTCAGGTGACCTGGGACATGGACTGCCCTGACCGACAGGAACTTGGTCTGCGCCCAAAGAAGAACTCACCTCGCCAACCTGCACAGGGGGCGAGAGTGTAAACCTCCCTGACTAATCAGTACAAGACCACAGCCGTGTTGCCATCCTGACCTAAATGCCAGCATCACCAAACGGCTTATGTGATTGAGCTAATACCAGCCAATCGTTAAGGTGACTCAAAACTCAGACACCCTGGAGCCACAACGGGGCCAGAGATGTGTCCCTTCACCTTGCGTTCGATGCCAGTTCAAATGGAAGGATGCAGTATTGGCAAGCTTTATTCCAAAAGCAAGCCTGAGGAACTTCCTGTGTCTCTTGATGATCTGGATGCAGAAGTACACATCCTAGATTGATGGTCATGATCCAATCTCCGGTTCAGATAGAGGCAGGATGAACCTCTGTGTCATCATCATGAAATTGCTACTCAAGCACAAGATTAGGTAATGCAAATGCAAATCCAAATCAACGCAACCAGTCACATTAGAAGTGACAGCGTTACTTCCAAAACGGGTAGTCACCATAGAAGCTGGATGGTATGACAATACAACAGACTGATCCTCCTTCATGAGGCCCCGAAACACCTGAGTTGCGGGAAAAACCTCTGAAACAGGAAATAGATCCTAAAATCAGGCCAGCCAGCGCCAACCACAGAAGTGGGAGCTTGGAAGTCGACACAGACCCTCACCAATGGCCTTAGGGCTATCCTCTCGATCTCCGAAAGCAAAGACACAGAGAGCGGTCAAAATCAGTCCGAAACGCAACAAGCGGCGGAACAGCTGACAGAGAGTCAAATACCTTATAGGTTGCCCACATTCACGCAAAAGTTACAGCTCAATGCGACAGCAGAGCTGACAAGAACAGAGTAATTAGTTATGCAAATCACTGCTTGGTAGCATGAAGTGTGCAGTCACATAGTGCAGCCAGTCATGTGAAGCGAGTGTTGGTAGTATAAGCGCCGCATCAATCACATGAATGCTATGCGATGGCGCCGCAGACGGCAGCCTCAGTGTTTGGCTCTCCAGTGTTTGTACTGTTTTTGTTAGTTTTTCCTATTTTTTGTTTCTCAAACACGATCGGTTTTACCAGGGATGAGCTGCTGAACATTCGGCAGTACACACCACACAATCTTCTACCGGATTT